TTTGAGTGTACTTTCTCTATATATAAACTTCTGTAAGTTAATAGTGTTAAGAAATAAGTTACAAAAACTTTATTTCGCTAGGAGTTTTAAGATTTTTCTAGACTATATTCTGTACTTAGCTTATTTATTTTCATCTACATTTTTATAATAAACTTCTATAGTTAAAAGAAAATCTGCAGCCTATGGTCTACCAAGCCAGGTTTCACTCTGAGATCTGACTAGTCCAGTAGTTAAAACAAAAAGCTGTTATTCCGTACCATCTTCACAGTATGTAATAACCTCATAACTTGTATTCAGTCTGTAAGTAGCAGGAAAGGGTCTTGTGGCACAGTGGTAGCATCCCTACCTCTGAACCAGAAGATCTGGATCCAAATCTCACATTTTCCAGAATGTGTCATAACATATCTGAACAGGTTGATTAAAAATAATTATGAGCAACAGGACTGGAAGTAAGATGTGTACATAAGTCTCCCAGTTTTATTTGTGTTTAGTCTGTATATGTAAAAACAATCTTCAAATAAAGAAACCATACTAATGTTTTGCTAGTACAAATATTTATGTCGAACAGAGGCGAGCATAATAATAGCACTCTAAGTTAAGAAGATAGGAATGCGAATAGGACATTCAGCCCCTCAAACCTGCTCCACCAGTCAGTTAGATCATGGCAGATCCTCATCTTAACTCTGATGACCTTGACTTCACCTCAACAGGGTTCCAGATTTCCAGTATCGTTTATGTGAAGGCATTCTCCAGATTTCGTGTCTGAATGTCCTAATCTTGAGACAATACAGTCATGTTCTGGACTCTTCCACCATTGGAAATAATCTTTTCCTATCTTCCCTATAAACATAGAAACACAGAAGATAGGAGAAGGCATTGAGCTGATTTAACTCTGTCATTCATGATTATGGCTGATACTTTTAACACTAAAGTAAGTTCTTAAAATACTTCAATTTGATTATCCTGTCCCACCCCCTCACTATGTCCTGTACAAGAATCATTAATCACTTTAATCATTCCGGTGATCTTCCAAATGATTGTGTAACCTTTTTCTTTCTCTTGCAGGTATTGATCACACCACTTAATGTAACTTCCATCAGTGATCGGGATGCCTCTAAAGCTGGACTGAAGCCAGTTTGCAAATGGAAAGCTTATCGTTTAGAAGACTATCCAGGTACTGTACATTCTGCAAACCAAGCAGGCCATTGCACCTTACCATTGCCAACGAAATATGACTGAATGGCGTTGCTGTCCATGTGGGTTTAAATGGTTGACCTCACCAAGCTTATTTCCCAGCACAACTAAGTCTAGCTGCGGAGAGCCTTTACTTTGCAGTTTCAAAACAAATACGAATGGAATCATCAAACACGGGAGGTGATCTTTCAGCCCAGCGTGCCTGTGCGTTCTCATTGATAGCTGGGAAATGCATCATACAAAGCTGGCTTGGGTTTCTGGATAAACATAGAGCCACACAACATTGCTCTCTCAAACAGCGGGCACTAGCCAGGTGACTAGGTTGTCTACAAGTAAGGACAATCTTAATTGGTTCGGCAGTAGATAAAATACAGTTACTCTTTTCGGCATCAGTTTAGGGAATGGTGTTCTGTTTCTGGTCAATCCCTTCTCAGGTTAGTAGTTTATCTCAGGATAATGCTCCATCAAACCTTTTACTTTGTACTTTTCCAGAAAGCTGAACTTCACTTCCCATCAATAGATGCACTGTAGAACCTGGGGCATTTGTAATTGCTCTTTCTCTCCTTCTCATTCTCTCTTTTTGTTTCTCAGTTTATTTTTCACTCTCTTGTTTCTCCAGTTTTCTCTTCTCACATTCTCTTTACACTCTCTCATCTTTCTCTCTTTTCTCTGTCGTTCCTCTCTCTCTCTGTTTTCTCCCTGTTGTTCTGTTTTCCCTCTCTGGTTTGCTCTTCTTTCTCTCCCTCTCTCTCTCCCTCTGCCTCTCGTGTTCGGTCTCACTCTTGCTCTGTTTTCCTTCTCTCTCACTCTTGCTTTGTTTTCCCCATCTGATTTGCTGATTTCTGTCTCTCATTCTGTTTTCCTTTTTTTCTGTCTCTATTTTCTCCCTTCTCAGTTTAAAAGTAAATAATCTTACTATTAGCTCTTTTCAGCCAGTGAATCTATTTCAACATATGTATTTAGCATTTACAGGAGTAATAGTGAGACACTCCCAGCTATATTATCACAAACCAAAAGAAAATGCTGAAGAATGTTTATTTCAATTACTTATGAAATATTGGTAGTTGAGTTTGTGGTTTTATCACAGGTTATTCTTTAATTTAGTGCTTGTAAAAATACACTTAAAGGCATTTTATTTCTGGTAGGGACTGAGAGTGCACCAGCCTCCTGGAGGCAATAATTAGTTTCTTATCCTTCAGGACCTCTTGAAAGGTTCTGATGAAACCTCTGGTATATCATCTAAAGGATTCATAGAAACATGGAACAGGAGGATACCATTCAGCCTGTTCTGCCATTCATCATAATCATAGCTGATCATCCAACTCAATAGTCTAACCCTGCTTTCTCCCCAGAGATCCCATTGCCCCAAGTGCTATATCTAGCCGCCTCCTGAATACATTCAATGTTTTGGCATCAACTGAATTCCTGTGGTAATGAATTCCACAGACTCACCACTCTTTGGGTGAAGAAATGTCTCCTCATCTCCGTCCTAAATGGTCTACCCCAAATCCTCATAATGTGAAAGCCTGGCTCTGGACACACTCACCATCAGGAATATCCTCCCTGCATCTACCGTGTCCAGCCCTGTTAGAATTTTATAAGTCTCTATGAGGTCCCCCCCTCATTTTACTATATCCATCCGAAATATAGGCAGAACAGCTTCTCTGAGTATCCATTGTACTCAACATATTCCTACATGGCCTGACGAGATGATGGTGCTAGTTACCCCATTTTGATTAGAGCTGACCGATTAATCCCTTCTTCATCCCATATGTACTTGTTTTGTGTTATCACAGGCAAGTAAAAGCATTATTTCTGTGGAGGAGAATTGAAGTGCTGAATTTAACAATGCACAGCAGCCTTGCCCATTGACTGAAAAGTTGGGCCAAACCCACCTCCAACAGGCCAAGTACCCACAACCAGAGTTTACATTCATCAGGTAATTAAGTGACCCCCTTAACAGGGTTTAAACAGCAGGAATTGGTTTCAAGTTGCCAAAGGCAGGAAAGTTGCCCAACACACCATCCCACTGCTGGTGAAATACCAAAGGAATTGGATAAGCAACAGACAAGATACCCCTAATCATTCCATGTGACTTCATGCTGTCTCCCGCCTGCCAGCCAGCTCCCTGGGCTGAGATGGGGTAGGCTTAAAACAACGGATAGGGACAAATAGTCTCGGTTGTGTATCGTTTGAAAATGTTCTGTTGTAAATAATCAATTGGTCATTTATATATATACTGAGTTCCACCTTTCTATTAGGGTTCATGTTCATTTCGGATCCTTTTCTTCCTGGATGGCAGCGTTATTGGGCAAAGCAATGTTTGAAAATCTATCCTCGGAAACCAAATATCTGCAACTTGGACCTTCACATGTCACCAGAGGAAACCAAAGACCTGTGGGAGCAGAGTAGAGAACAGTTAAGGTAACTACTCCAAAATGGGAGGTCTGCTGGCACTGACAAGCCTCTGTTTCTCCTCATTTTACAGCCTTTATTCCTGGCATGCTGCACTTTTAAGAACAACAGGATCTGAGTACAACCCAAAGATGAATCTTGTGGAGAGCTGCCCAGTTCGCTCATTACTTCTTATTCTCTTGAGGGACATGGTGTCACTGGTTAGGGTGACATTAATTATCCATCCCTAGCTGCCCTTGAGATGTTGGAGATGAGTTGTCTATTCTGTAGGTAGGCCCACAATGCTGTTGGGGAAGGACTGCAAGGATGAGGAACTGAGGGCATTGTGAAGAAGTTTACAGATGACAAAAAGTTAGGTGGAGGGACAGATAGTGTTGAAAAAGCAGAGAGGCTGCAAAAGGCCTTGGACAGACTAGGAGAATGGGCAGAGAAATGGCAGGTAGAACATTGTGTGAGAAAGTGTGAGGTTATGCACTTTGGTAGGAAGAAAAGAGGCATAGGCTATTTTCTAAACAGGAAAAAGCTTTGGAAGTCTGATATACAAAGGAACTTGGAGTCTTAATTCAGGATTCTCTTAAGGTTAAAATGCAGGTTCAGTTGGCATTAGGAAGGCAAATGCAACATTAGCATTCATTTCGAGAGGGCTAGAATACAAGAACTAAAATGTACTGCGGAGGCTAATATTGTGAGCAGTTTTGGGCCCCATATTAAGGAAGGATGGGCTGACGTTAGAAACGGTCCAGAGGATGTTCACAAGTTGGGCCAAATGGCCTAATTCTGCTCCTATGTCTTATGGACTGTTTTAGACAGTGAAGGAATGGCAATATATTTCCAAGTCAGGATGGTGAGTGACTTGGATAGAACATGCTGTGCATAATGATGTAGTCACTATGTTCCCTGAAGTCAGCTGATTTTATAAGCTTCAAATGAACAGTAAGCTTGTTCTGCCATTTAGTGAGATCATGGTCGATCTTCTACTTTTCCTACACTGTTCCCCTATTCCTTCATGATTTTCATAATCTTAAAATCAATCAATCTCAGTCTTGAAGATTCTTGAAGACAGAGCAACGCAGCCTTCTGGGCCATCCCCCCACCCCACACCGAGTGAAAAAAATTCCTCCTCATCTCAGTCTTGAATGGCCTATGCTTTCATCTGAGTCTATCCCTGGTTGTAGACCACCTGTAGCCAAGGGAATATCCTTCTTGCATATACTCTGTCAAGCTCTGGAAGAGTTAACCAAGTCTGAATGAAATCCGTCTCATTGTTCTAAACTCCAGGGAATAGAGGCACATTCTGTGTTCTTTAATGTGCTCCATTTTTAAGTAATGTGTTCATTTATTCCTCCTTTTTCTCAATAGTCATCTTCAGAAAGTGTGCTAATCTCTCTACTTCTTGACTTTCCATCTTTTGTCTGCATGTCAGTAAACGATATACATCGACCCTTCTATTTCTAACTCTCCTTTCCTTCCCTCAGTTTTCAGTGTTGTGCTTTTTCAAACTTTGCCCAGCCTTATCTCTCTCTGATTTCAATCTTCTTTCCCAAAAAATACATACATATGTATAAACATACATCTTTTACATTAAACAGGTGTTATAATTTCTAACATGAACGCTATTAGAGTACAATATTAACAGTAAATTGAAACACAGGTAAATTTAGCAACCTGCCGGAGGATTGAAAACACTGGAACCTCCTCTACAGATGCATGTATTCAACTCTGCCCACTTTACTGTCTTGACAAATGGTCCATTCTGATTCTCAATCCCCACAGAAGTGCTTGCTTTTGTAGCCATCACTTGGTGCCATGATTCACTGCTAGCCAAGAGAGTGAATGCTTAAGGTGTTGGTTGAGTGCTAATCCAGTAAGTTACTTTGTCCTGGAAAGTCTTGAGTTTGTGGAGCTGTAACCCAGGCAAGTCTGAAGTATTCTGCAACATTTCTGAATTGCGTCCTATAGATGGTGGAAAGGCTTTGGTTGGGGGCAAATCACTAACTGAAGATTACACAGCTCTGGCCTATTCTTGTATTTAGATGGTTTGGTGATTTCAGTCAATACTTAATGGTGAAATATTTCATGATGGTAATACCATTGAATGTTATAGGAAAGTGATAAGGCTCTCTCTAGTTAGATGGTAAATGATTGGCGGTTATGTTGTGTGGTATGAATGTTATTTGTTTCTTAACAGCCCAAACCTGAATGTTGTCCAGGTCTTGCTGCATACAGACACAGACTCCTTGGTTTTCTGAAAAGTTGTGAATGGAACTGAACGCAGTTCAATCATCAGATCACAGCCTATTCTAGCCTTCGTTTTTAGTATATCCCATATTATTTCCTTCTGTCTCTTTCTTCCTCATTCTATCACTTTTGCTTTTTCCCTGTTTCTGTCTGCGTGTCTCTTTTCCCTTTTTTAAATCGGTAAATTGCTAATCGATGTTTTAAAGCCACAACTGCATATTTTGCAGACATGCAGGCGCGTTCTTAATTCTTGTCTTTGTTTCTTTGCAACAAATCCAATATAGTAAGTTTTGTAATTATTACAAACTTCCTGCAGCCTACTCCAACATCAGTGAAAGAGCAATATCAGTATGTATGATTCCTGAAATCTAAAGCATGCAGTTTCAAAGTCAACTGCCAGGAGCATGCAACCTGCACTCTCAATGCAATGTACTTTTCAGTGTCTGAGCTGTCAATCATGACCCACCTGTTTTATTTGGTTTGGTAAGTTTCTAGTCCATCCTTGTCCAAACCTTCGGATCCTGTACATTATGGACATGATCCTTGAAATCTCATGTGTGAGGAAGGGGTTGAAGACAGATACAGAGTGACAGGATTAGCACCAGTGATGTGCAATCCCAAGCTACATCATTGAATCAGTGACCCTCCTAGATAAAGCCTAGGTGGTAGCTCTCAGAATGGAGTAAAAAGTGAAGTGCACATCTTAATCAAATTTGCAATCTTTTCCAGGCTGAAATCCTTTGTTAAAAGAGAGGCTAAAAGTTTGCTGGAGAAGTTACGGTGGGTTACCCTAGGATATCATTACAACTGGGAGACTAAGGTAACATTTTCTCTGTGACTACAAAAGCATTTTAAGGAAAATACATAATTCTTCCCTACCACTCTTTTTTTTTTAATCAGGTTCCATTTTGTGAATTCAGCCTGTTGGCTTTGCACCTTCCTTCAACTGCCAGGAAGTTGAGCAAGTGTCCAGCTTCCTGCTAACTTCGCATTAGCTTGTCAGAAAAGTTCAAAAACTTGTCTAATCAGCCATCAGCACTTGCACGATGCCAAATTACTGCAAAGAAGCTAAAAATCTAAGCCTAGATTCCATATACATTGGAAGAGATATATACAACATGTTCAAGAGATGCACGGAAGCAAAAAGTGATTAGTGTTTTCTTGAAAGATTCGCATTGTTTTTTTTCTCACATTCTTTCTTTCCTATTGTTTACACCCCATTGCAGCAATCACTGATGCTTGGTGTACTCCTGTAACTCAGACATGACAGAACAAAGATTGAGTATCTGTTACAGAGAAGTTAGAGCTGAGCCCCAGCCCTGCCTGCACTGAGTAGAAGTCAGGTGGATAATGAATCAAAAGGAAACCTTGATAATTTTTCCTTCGTCCTCTTTCTGGCCTCCTTAAACTCAAGAGTTTTAAAGCCACCACCACCTACTGCTTTAAGCATCTACCTGCCTTGGCCGAGGATGTCAAATTCCTTACACACCATTCAGTCTTGATCCATGTAGATCTACTGTTCACTGCCTTAATCTTGAGTCACAAGAAAGGCCGCATGGAAGATCATTGCCTAAACTACAGTAATAATGATAATGAGACTCAGCTTCAATACCCTGGTGGTTCATAGAAATATTCTCCATTAAAGCATCAGGAAAACAGGAAGTTGTAGTACTTATCCACTAGCTATCAGTTAAACATACAAAAATAGCTGAGGCTTGACCTTCCAAGTATTATAAAATGTATTATATATTGGTACATATTATATATTAATACACAGAGCCCTGTGCTTTTCAAATGGAATGGACATCTGTACACCATGAGCCTATTCCAACTCAACAAAATAGATGAGAACCTTTCTCTTGTTCATTTCTCAGGGCAATGTCTTGACCAATCAAAGGTAATCTGCCTCGTTTAAAATTTAAATAAAACTTGGCGATTAACTGTCTGTCATTATTACTGGTGCATTCTCCATAGCAACACCTCTAATAGAGTTCACTTGGCAATCAATCCACACTCTTCTGTCTAGCAATATAAATGTTAGTTTCCCCTTCATTGTTGTTCTTGCAAATTATCCTAAGAAATGCAAAATGTAAAATGTGTGTTTTTCAGCAATATTCAAGTTTAATATTTAAAAGTATGATGACTCTTAATTCAGATGAACAGCTTTTTTGGTACTGAAAATTTACATATCTCTTATGGATACTCAAGTGTGTTGTATTGAAAGGTGGCCGATTTTCTTTTTATGTTAGTATCATTTTTTTAAATGTTTGGATTTCAAACTAATAGTATATGAGGTATGGGGTTATTTTGGTGAATGAGTTTTAAAATTAATTAGGTCTGTCTTTCTTGAAACCATGACTTTAAGCCAGTATGTGTCAGAGAGCAGGCGACACCCAAAGCCTCTTGGAGTGTTAATGGAAGTTACTTAATACTGTGGGCATTTACAACAGGACAGAGAAAACTTTAAGCCATTAGCTGTAACAGAATCTAAGACAAGGAAGTTTTTAAATTTTGCTTCAAAAACTTTTTAGTTCAGTTTGAAGATGACCTGACTGGGCTTCAGATGCAAGTATAGTTTCTCCTAGAAAAGGAGATTGCTTGGGGCAGTTAAGGAAATAGGCAACCTCTGTGAAAGGGTGTATTGGAATTCCACATTTAGGAGTGTTTGGTTTGAAACCTGCATTGGTTATTCAAAGCTGGGAAAGCCAAGATCTCAGTTGTATGAGCATTCGTGGAAAAGGCTTCACAGTTCCCAGGACAGAAACTAAGAGGAAGTTTGAATAGAAAAAAAATATTTCTCTGGATTTTGATTACCTGTAAAGTGATGCTGTTGGGGTTTTGGAGTTCTCTTTGCCATGTGTTTGAAATATTTCAAACTGTATTACATGTAAATAGCTTGGTTTGTTTTATTTTTATTTCTTTTGTATAATAAATGTCTGTCTTATTGCTTAAAAACTAATATGGAGCCTTGGGCGCTAATGTTTCAGTAAAAGATCACCACAACAAATAAAACAACAAAATGTGATCTGCCAGGCCAGACTTCATTCTGGGAACTGATTTGCCCAGTAGTAACACCAGCTGGGATCATAAAAGTGTTTAATGACCTCCCCTTCCCCAGACCATAAGATCAGGAGTATTTGTTGACTATTCCAAAGTGTTCAATTCCATTTAAAATCCCTCCAATAATGAAACTGCCAAATCTGACCTAAATAAAATCTGGACAAATTCCAGGACTGGATTCAGCTGGCAAATGGAATATAATATTCTCACCATCAATGAGTTAGTGGTAACTATTGGCCAGCAACATAAGTAAATCAATCATGTTAACACTGTGATTATAAGTGTAGGAAATAGGCCAAGTACTTAAAGTCTTTCCATCAACTGTGAGGCTTGGGTATGACTTAACACTAACCACTTGTCTGGGTGTGTTTAACTGTACCAACTGAGCTCAGCACTGAGCAGAACAGAGTGAATGGCTGCTCTGTGTGTGTGTGTGTGTGTGTGTGAGATCTACATGATGCACCACTGCAGCAACTCAGTAAGGTTACTTCAACAACAGCTACTCCTCTTGGCCTCCAATAAGAAGAAAGACCAGGTCAGCAATCTTGTGGGTAAACCAAGGTGGCTTCAAGCCTGTCGGATTTCTTACTCAACTAATATTTCAGAATTCCCAATTTTGTGCCATTTGCGAGTATCATGACCGAACAATTCAATAGTATTTTCAAAAGGGAATTGAAAATGTAATAGAAAAATAAAAGTTTGCACAGAAAGAATAAGGAAATAGGACTCAATTGGATATGCTTCCAAGTAGCTGGTACAGGCAAAATGGGACTTATTGCATCCCAAACTAAAGTATTCAATGCTTCTATCAACTTATTCATGGAGATGACCCATGACCCTTCTCAGTCATTAAAATACATTTCAAGCATCAGCCAAAGGTGAGAAAATACAAAACTTGTAATGAATGTATGACAGTTTATATCTTTTTAAATCTAAAATCTTTAATAATTCTATTTATTTGACAAGTTGGTGTTCGTGCTCTTGTCTTTAAGAGGGTCTATGCTATGTGTGTAATGGACTGTATCTTCATACTTTTTGTTTGCAGAGATATTCACCTGATCACTATACGGCATTTCCCACAGACCTTGCTTACCTGTCTGAGCAAGTGGCAGCAGCATGTGGCTTCCAGCAATTTAAGGCAGAAGCTGCAATTCTGAATTATTACCATTTTGACTCCTCACTGGGTATTCATGTGGATGAATCAGAGATGGATTACTCCAAACCCCTATTATCATTCAGGTAAAGAAAATTGAACAAAATTACACATTTCAGAGGGTGGGAGTGGGTAGTTCTTTTTTAGTGAATATCCGTACTGATCATTGCAATCAGTGGCAGGAATTACTGTTTGCTAGTATTTCCATTGGCAGAACAGGTCTGTAATTTGAGGTCTCAGATTTAAAGTAATTGGTACTAGAGCTAGAAGCATATTTGTTTACATGGTGAGTTGTAACTCAGAATGCTGTGGCTGAAAGGGTGGTGGAAGCAGATTCAATAACGATTTTCAGAAGGGAATTGGAATATAACTGAACAGGGAAAAATTACAAAGCTATAATGAAAAATCAGAGAACTGGAACTAATTGGCTAAGTCTTTCGAAGAGCAAATTTGGATTTATCTATTGTTTTTCACAATTGCTGGATGTCCCAAAGCACTTGACAGAAAAAAAACTGTGTACTTTTGATACAGAGTCACTGTTACAACCTATGAAATGTGGTAGCCAGTTTATTTTTGCATGGCACATGTCCATCTGTAATGGCGTTTGAATTGTTGGGACCATTTCAGAGGGCATCTAAGAGTTAACCACATTGTTGAGGTCTAGATGTGTAGGCAGACTTGATAAGATCCTTTGCCAAAGGACGTTAATAAACATATGGTTTTTACGACAGTCCACAATGATTACATGGTCGCCATTAGACAAGCTTTTAATTCTAGATTTTATTGAATTAAACTTTCACTGTGGTTGTATTCGAGTACATGTCCCCAGCCTGGATCTCTGGATTACCAATCCAGTGACATTACCACTATAACACTCTGAAGTGGACGAGGACTTGGGCTGGGAGGAAGAGGCTTTCGTTAAAGCGCAAGTGCCTTTGCTCTTCATCTCAGCTGAAACACACTTGGCATCTAGAGAGAGACGTGTTTTGCACAAACTTAACTTTTAGCTGTACTGACAGTTTGATCTTTTTCTCAGTAACATCTATGAAGCTTGGATGTTTGTGGCCTTGACAGGCTGAAGTAGGTGGTGGAGCAAGTAGACACTGAGAAAATCAACAAAAGTAATGAATTCTAGCAATTTGCAAAACATTAATCTTTTATTTGTCAACTTCATAACTTGCATTTCTCTGGATATTGCACAATTCTTAACAGAAAGGCAAAAGCCATTTCGAAATTACTTTCCAGTGAGTCTAGTACAGGATAGTTTCATACATTTTGGTGAGACACCCCTTCTATGGATATTTTCTGAGAGATAAATTGGGCAGGGCAGGACCATGAATTTCACTACGGTGTTGCTGCTCCAACATTTGCATTATTCACTTTCTGGGATTCTCGTATAGAGCAACGTTTATGAAATTGATGTGACCAAAGAGTGATACAGACATTGCAATTCATCAAAGTAAGAAGACAAATTGCATAATGCATTCAACAATGTATTGCTGCCCTGAATGCATCATGAGTGACTGAAATCTTAGTGGAGTTTCAGTGGACCACAGTACTAAATGTGACAATGTTACGCTATATAAGTATTTTTTAAATTTTAAAATCCTGTTCAGGTCTCTGATATTTCTTGGTGACTGGAAATCGATTTATGTTCAATATATTCTTTAATGCTACTCCATAACCACATATTGCTCCATTTCCCCCATTCTCCCAGTTACTGTGTCGAGCTGGACTCACTTAGGCCCAAAGGAACGCTGAGGTTCAGATCTTATACCTTCTTCCATCACAAAGTTCATTTATTTCCACCCCTACAACATTACCCACTTCTACACTGACTCCTCTCACCTACTGCTGTAGCTCACATCCATTCCTGTAGCCTCCAGACTCAATTATTGTTGTGCTCTCTTAGATGCCCTGCCATCACCCACCCTCCATAAACTTCTGCTTGTGCAAAACTATGTTATTTATTTAGTTTCCAGCTCAAGTCTTGGTCTGTGTTGAACTGGTTGGTAGTAGTATCAGATTGACTTGGTCAGGATAATGGAATCATCCATAGGTAGAGTCAAGCATCATGGTTTGAAGAATGGTTTTGTGGATGATGTACAAAGGTTAATCAGTGCCTGTTAAATCACGGCACAATCAAATGGCTGCTTCAAAAAAGAGGGGAGAAAGTAAGGTGAAAATAATTGAAATGACTAATCTCAAGTTTTTCTTTTCTCTCCCATTCTTTCAGTTTTGGCCAGTCAGCTGTGTTTTTACTTGGCGGTCTGAAGAGACAGGACCCTCCCCTTCCAATGTTCATTCACAGTGGTGACATCGTGATCATGTCAGGCAGGAGTCGCCTTTTGTATCATGCAGTTCCCCGGGTTGTTCCCAATCCAGAAGGAAAAGCAATCCCCAGTTGTTTAGAACACACAATGACTAGAGACAGCTGCTCAGATGACACAAACTGTCAACAAAGTGTTGAAGGTGACTGGGAAATCTGCATGAAATACCTACAGAACTCTAGGGTGAACATGACCGTGCGGCAGGTCCTGGGAGTCGGACAGAGCTTCCCAATCGAGTCAGACACTGGAAAGAAAGCAGATTCCAAGTTGTTTTCTTATCATCAAGATTCTGAAGAGGAGAACCAACATAAACGACAGAAACTGATCAATGAAGATGTGGCAGGGTCTCCATAAGTTTTCTTATCCTCTCTGGAGGAATGATAAAGTGCTAGTTTTGTATGCTGGAGGATCCATGGAGGCAGAGTTTCATCAGCTTGCTATGTATGCATTGTAAAATTTCTATTCATTCATTATCCACTTCAGAAAATCCTTGAGGAATTAGTAAGGGTCACGTCGTAGATTCAGTATTTGCAGGTCTCCCAATGAGTGTTCGTTCCCCCTGTCAACACCAGTATTCTCCTCAACCTTGCCCAATTTAAGCAATGCTCCTGTCAATGCCAGTTTTCTTGCAGGAGAACGGAATGCAGTTTCTATGTTGGACTCAGTGTCTTGTCAAGTGACAGATATAGTATAGGATCAGCACAATATAAGCCACCATACATTTTTTGCCCTAGCCTTCAAGTAATGTCTTTAACTATCACCTTGGCATTTCTACGTTTTACTTCAGCCACCTTTGTGACCATTTGGTCGCTAACTTAGAGCAGATGTTTTCTGTCCTCTTGAGATTAAGTCGAGACTTCATGAATCCTTCTGTCATTGTGCACTGTATTTAAGATCAAAAAGGAAAGGGCACAATGTGTTGACCACACAGTCCCCTTACCTCATCTAATACTCATATTTAATTAATTGTACCATCAAACGTTAGCTTTGGACCAGTTATTGCAACAAAGCTAAATCAATACAGAAGAACCCTGTTACGGTCTTAAGTTGGTAAAACAAATGGAAAGGCATTCAAGCCATCTACTAGAACCCTCACTGGGACGTAGCTTTGAAAAAGGCTGTAATAGTTGCCGTCCATTTGCCAAGGGAAAAGCTGCTCTAACAGTTGGAAACTGATAAATAATGAACATCTGCTACAAGATAATCGGATCTGGTAGGGGTTCCAGTTTTACATATCATGAATAATAAAAAGTATTTATATATTAATATTGGTTTCTGTGTTGTCTGAAGTATTTTAATTACTAAGAGTCATGACAGAATTGATCATTGATAATGTATCTAAATTCCCTACACTGTAGTCAGACTTCCTCATAAATATACAGAAAATAGAATTAAAGACAGAAACTCAGAGGAACCAAAATGAGGATTAGTTTATCCTCCAGCCGTGCTTAAACCTAAAAGATAGCAACTTTATCACAAGATGAAAAATCTAATTAATTGTTAAACTCTAATTTGGCTTTTGTTTAAATCTACTTAAATCAGCTCATTTCATTTTTGTCTCCCAAGGACTGATCAAGACGAATGTATAATTGATACCTATTTTATAACACAGATTCTAAGGCATACGTATTAGCAGTGTTTAGCTTTAAGGATTGTAATACCAGCCTAAGAGGTAAATGCTGTCACAGTGGATCTGTGGCAGATTTCTTCTTGTGTTCAGATGAATGATATCTTAAGCAGTCTGTGCACCTTGCTGCCAAGAGAGTTTACGTACACTGTCCTTCATCTACTGATAAAAATTGCACAACCCATGGTTTAACGATGATGGTGATCTGAACTGATTATGTCTTTTTCAGGAATGTTCTTCCAAGAAAACTTCTACCCATCACTAGGAGTAGTGTTGTTTGTTCCATGACAAATGTGTACCGAGTCTGTATATAAAAAGGCAGTAGAATTAGCTTTCCTCTGCTGTTAAAACTCTTGACTAACAAAAACCTATTGGGTGAAACAAAACCAAAAGAACTGCAGATGCTGGAAATCAGAAACAAAAACAGAAATTGCTGGAAAAACTCAACAGGTCTGGAAGCATCAGTGGAGAGAATTCGGAGTTAACATTTTAGCTGCAGTGACTCTTCTTCAGAGCTGATGGTAGCTAGGAAAAAGATTAGTTTTTATGCAGGTTGCAATCCTGGATTGAAATTCCGTTTTCAAGCCCGGCTTCAATTCCTGCTCTTTTAGCAACACTAAGCAATACAGCTGGCAGGAAGCTCCATTACAATATTTCACTAATAACAAAACATACACCTGAATGTGTTTTGAAATATTGCTGGTATTCGTTTAAAGTAACAAACGTTGATGAATTTTATTGATCTCCTCGTGTCACGCTATGCACGATCAAGTTTAATTTAGGTAAATGTGAGGTGCTTCATTTTGGAAAGGCAAGTCAGAATAGGACTTATACACTTAATAGTAAGGTCCTGGGTAGTGTTGCTGAACAAAGAGACCTTGTTCATAGTTTGTTGAAAGTAGAGTCGCAGGTAGACAGGGTAGTGAAGAAGCTGTTTGTTCTGCTTGCCTTTATTGATCAGTGCATTGAGTGTAAGAGTTGGGAGATCATATTGCAGCTGTACGGCGCATTGGTTAAGCCTCTTTTGGGATACTGCATTCAGATCTAGGCTCCCTGCAAAGGAAGGATGTTGTGAAACTTGAAAGGGTTCAGAAAAGATGTAAAAGAATGTTGCCAGGGTTTGAGAAGGAGAGGCTAAATAGTCTGGAGCTATTTTCCCTGAGCGTCGAAGGCTGAGGTGTGACCTTATCGAAGTTTATAAAATATGAGTTGCATGGATAGGCTGAATAGCCAAGACCTTTTCCCCAGGGTAGGGGAGTCCAAAACTAGAGGTGAGAGCGGAAAGATTTAAAAGGTACTTAAGGGGTAACTTTTTCACACAGAGGGTAGTGCATATATGGAATGAACTGTCAGAGGAAATGGTGGAGGCTGGTACAAATGGGCCAAATGCTGGCGAATGGGACTAGATTAATTTGGGATATCCAGTCAGCATGGACAAGTTTGTCCGAAGGGTTTGTTTCCATGCTGTACAGCTCTATGACTCTAATTCGTTCTTGGTATGAGACCAAGTGAAATATAGTTTGTGTAGTGTTGGCTTTTTAAGTGTGGAGCATAGTTCAATTTTTACTGTGCATTACAATTTGTATTTTAGGGGTTGTGCAGCCTCCTTGGTTAGATATTGTTCATTGAGTTTGCAGTTGAGCTAGATGTGCTTCCATTAGTGCTCTTTGAGAACTGTGGATTTGATGCAGCCTGCCGATTTCTGGAATCTTTTTCTCCTTTTCTCTCTAACTCCCTTGCTTTGTTTTTTCACTTTTCTTCCTCGCTCTTTCACACTCCCTCCCTCATGCTTTCTTGCACACTCTCTCAAGCCCTCTGGCTCCCTCCTTTGCACCCTCTTTCACATTTTCACTGTCTTTCTGTCACGCACTAGTTTATGTATAACTCTTTCCATTAATTTCCTTTACTTCTTTAAATTTAGTTTTAATCTTAAATTCTGAAATGACTGTAAAAACAGAATTTTACCTGCTACAGTTTTAACACTTTTTTGAGCTGACGTAGAAAGACAGCAGCTCTGGAATTCCCTCCCGAAGTTTGTGTTTGGAACTCTTCAAACCCATTGCTTAGACTAACTTTTAAGTCACCTTTATGTCGCTCATAATACATTTTACTTGATAATGCTGCAATGAAGTACCATGGATTTTTGTGATCGTTCATGGAATGGGAATGTTACTGACAAGAGCAGCATTCATTGCCCACCCCTAACTGCCTGTGAGAACTTGGTGATGAACCACCTCTTGGACTGCTGCATTCCTTAGGAATTCAACTTTTAATGGCTTGATACAACTGAGTGTCTTGTTTGGTCACTTTGCAAATGAAATGAAACTTGGATGCACTGTAAACAGTGAAGATGACAATTTGGAACTGCAGAGGACATAGGTTGGTGGAGTGGGTGGATCAGACGAGGTTCAATACAGAGTAGTATGAGGTGATCCATTTTCATAGAAGGTTTGTGGACAGAGTAATAACAAGTACAATTCCAAAGGTGATTGAAGGTGGCGGGACAGGTGAAGGGTGGTTGAAGTGTGCAGTTTCCTGGGCTTTGTTAAAAGTTAAAGATGTAAAAGATAAGAACAAAGAGGTGATGCTAAACACTTTATTGACCTCAGCTAGGGTATTGTGCACAGTTCTGGCTGCCACACTATAGGCAGGTTGCAAATGCACTGCAGACAGTGCAGAAGAGATTTACAAGAATGGTTCCAGGGATGAGAAACTTCAGTTATGACTATAGGTGGAAGAGGCTGGGGTTGTTCTCCTTGGAGAGAAGGCTAAGAGGAGATCTAATAATAATTTCAAAATTATGAGGGCCCTAGATAGAGTAAATAGGGAGAAACTATTCCACCTCATAAAAAGATCAGAAACGGTGAAGGCAGGTTCAATTGAGCCATTCAATAAGGCAATGACTGTTTCTATTTAATAAATGCATGGGGAGAGGGCGGGAAAATGAAACTAAGACATGGTGTTCATCTGGAGAGCTGGTGCTATTGCAATATGCTTAATGGCCACTTTACGTGCCATTACACTCCTGCGATTCTGTAAATTTGTTTATTTATTTGCTATCACATATATTTTGTTATGAAATACAGTGAAAAATGTTGTACTGTGTTGCCACTCTCTGGAACCATCTTAAAACAGAAAAATAAACCAAAGAAAAGCGCACAAAGGCAGAAAAATAACGAAATTGTGTTCAACTGTAACTAGAGAACAGGCCACCTTAGACTGAATGTTGTGTAACGAAAAGGAAAAATTACTAATGTATTTGTGAGAGACTCCAAGGGGAAGAACAACCATATGGCCAACACGGTAGCTCAGTGGTTAGCACTGCTGCCTCACAGTGCCAGGGACCCCAGTTTGACTCCACCCTCAAGCGACTGTCTGTGTGGAGTTTGCACATTCTCTCCGTGTCTGCGTGGGTTTGCTCCGGTTTCCTCCCACTGTCCAAAAATGTGCGGGTTAGGTGGATTGGCCATGCTAAATTGCCCATAGTGTTCAAGGATGTGTAGGTTAGGTGGGTTATAGGGGGATGGTGTGAACTTGTTGGGCTGAAGGGCCTGTTTCTACACTGTAGGGATTCTATGATCTATTTTATGTACAGTCCTCCTCGTTAAGGGCTCCACCATAGGCCTGATGGTCAGCCACAAGTCCCCTTCACTTCGTTTGGGTGCTTCAGTTTCCTCCCACAGCCCAAAGTGAATTGGCAATGCCACAGGATGTCCAGGAATGTGCCGGCTAAGTGAGTTAGCCATGGTAAATGCAGGGTTATGAGGATAGGATAGGTCTGGGTGGGGTGCTCTTCAGAAGGTTAGTACAGAAGCAATGGGCTGCATGGCCTCTATCGTCACTGTAGGGATTCTCTGATTCAGTTCACAACCAATGAAGTGCAGACACTGCTGTAAAGTACAAAATGCACCAAGCCTGTTTGCACACAACAGGCACCCACAGTGATGAAACAAAAGATTGTATAACCTGTTTTAAGTGTTGGTTGAAGGATGAGCATTAATTGAGCCAACAGAGAGAATGCCTTTATTTTTCTTTGAAATAGTAACATAAGAAATAGGAGTAGGAGTGCACCATGCAGTCATTGAGCCCACTCCATACAATCATAGATGATCTTTCAGCATCATATCCCATTTTCACATATCCTTTGATTCCTATGAGACTATAAACCTCAACTTTGATACTCAACAATGAAGCAGCCATAACCTTCTGGGAAAAGCAATTTTTAAGAATCACAACCCTTGTGTCATGATTGTAATGAGGTCAGCCAAGTGGACTTCATAGAATATGAGTTCCCTGATTGGGGCTGTTAATCTGGCCCAGAGAACCTTGGCTGACAGAAAAAAACAGGGGTGTCAGACATCTTGTTTCCTCTGAGAGCTGACTCTGAGGGAGCTGGATCAGTGTCAAGGACTCTCCATGTGTAAATAAAAGGTGATTTGGTGACGGGATACTGGCCTCTGTTGAGTTATTTCAGTGGCGATGCGAGAACAACATACTCCTGAAGAAATTCGCTCACAACAGTCATCTTTGAGTTCGGGTACATATTGCTGGTATTGTGCTGTTATTCGGGAAGATTGACCATTCGATCTTGCCATCAAAGGAAGACTGGGCCCACTATCTGAAAAGACTTTTTTTCTTC